CATTAATCCACTTCCTACTTCCTTAATACATCTAGTAAATATTGATGATGTACATTAATCCACTTCCTACTTCCTTAATACATGTAATAAATATTAATGATGTACATTAATCCACTTCCTACTTACTTAATACAGCTAGTTAATATTAATGATTTACATTAATCCACTTCCAACTTCTTTAGTACATTTAGTAAATATTAATGATGTACATTAATCCACTTCCTACTTCCTTAATACATATAGTAAATATTATTGATGTACATTAATCCACTTCCAACTTCTTTAATACATTTAGTAAATATTAATGATGTACATTAATCCACTTCCTACTTCCTTAATCCATCTAGTAAATATTAATGATGTACATTAACCCACTTCCTACTTCCTTAATACATCTAGTAAATATTAATGATGTACATTAACTTCCTACTTCCTTAATACATCTAGTAAATATTAATGATGTACATTAATCCACTTCCTTAATTCATGTTGTAAATATTAATATAATAAATTTGGCCTCCTTTGGCTCATTGGTACATTGAAAATACATCACGTTTGTTATTTGATTGAGAAACTTATGACAGGATAAGCTGACACTTTGCTTTTTTTTTTCCATATCAGAACTTAAGAAATAGGAGAAAAATACATGCTTTTGAATCTGTTTCAGCTTTACCATATTGTTATGGGTATAGAAACTTTTGTGCTTCAATTCAAACACATTGATGGAGACCTTCAACCACCAACTCCATATCACTATTGTCAGCATGACCTTCTTCAGTTTCAGTGTCCAGAGTCAACACCCTCACAGCCTTGTCTGAATCCAGAAGATGCAAAGTACAGGATGACCCGTTTGTCAGTGGATGCTATTGAAGTGTGCTTAGTTGAGTCAGGAACAGCCTTGAACTTGGAGGTATAAATTGTTAACCAGTCATAGAATAAAATATTTATAATGCTTAGCGGGATCACTAGCCTACACTGAATGGTAGAACAGTCATAAATAAAATTTGAATAGATTTAATAACTGTTCTCAAAGTATTTGTAGACAGGATGAATAGTTAACTTAACTTTTAGTTTATTTGTGGTCATCATAATTTTTGTTTCAGGTCTTTTTTTTTATTCTTTTATAAAGTGTGCTCTTTTTTGTGTTTTTGCTCTTCTAGTTGTTTTTTATTCAATACTACATAACCAAATTAGTTTGTGTAAGACATTGGTCTTTCTCTTATTTAAAACCATACAAATCAAATACTAAGGATAATTAAAACTATAGATTCGTCAGATATGTAAAAAAAATGTAAAATACACCACATATTTATAATGAGACATTACAACTGACAAAGTTCACCTAATAATATTGTCTGTCCATGGTACAACACCGAACATTGTAAAAATACTGGTCTTATTCTAAGAGCAAATACCACACTTTGACTCCCAGTACATTACTATTTATAACACAGAAATAACTGTGGTGATTATGCTTTGACTCTCAGTACATTATTACATATAACACAGAAACAGCTGTGGTGACCATGCTTTGACTCCCAGTACATTACTACTTATAACACAGAAACATCTATGGTGATCATGCTTTGACTCCCAGTACATTACTACATATAACACAGAAATAGCTATGGTGACCATGCTTTGACTCCCAGTACATTACTACATATAACACAGAAACATCTATGGTGACCATGCTTTGACTCCCAGTACATTACTACATATAACACAGAAACAGCTATGGTGACCATGCTTTGACTCCCAGTATAGATGGTTGATAAAGCTTTACTTCTTAAAAATCAAATTCATATTCAACAAGATCCATTGTTGAAGTTAAAAACTTTTTTACCCTAAATTTTCAGGAAGTTAGATTTTTCAAAAATCAGTAGGTAATGATAAATAGTTTTTTTCTGTTATATGGTAGTGTATATAATATTCACATCAATTGTTAAACAGTTTTGTTTTGATGAAAATTTTTTTTTTAGATTTTCCCAATTCGACTGGCAACTTGTAACCTTCATGGTGGACTCACTAGTTCTGGTTTGTCAGCTTTAATTCAGCACATCTGTGTGCGTCAATATGCATTAATTTCTTCACTCTCTGGAGGATCATCATCTTCAAGTGCAGCTAGTCAGTCTCAGACTCTTCATCCAGACATCTGGCTTGAGGTTGGGGCTGTGAGTCTTGGACCTGTGTTTCTCGATTCTATTATGTCGTCATCTCCTGAGTACATGAGTTGTGTACAAGACACATTTTTGAAAATTCATGACCAAAAACTGAAACATCTTTGGTTTTTATGGCCTCCAAAGGAAGTTGTTGCTCCACAGTCAGTGGAAGGGAAATGTGGTTGTGTTGGTGGATGTGCTTTCTTTGGTAAAAACAGAAATGGTCAGATTTTCTTCCAAACTCATAAAGCACATATGGATGGTAGTGACACTGTTTTTGCTAGATTTCACATTTTAACCAATGATGATTATGGATTTGGTCAAAGCCTTTTAAATAAAGAGGAATTTGTATTTGACATCTCTGATACTTCTTCTGGAGAAACTTCTAGAAGCAGTCCTGAACCATCAGATAAATGCTGCATGTTTTTCAGTGGATTTCGGAGCCAGACAACATCTAAATCTCATGAAGGTTTTTCAAGAAGAACTGCTAAAGACACAATCTCTAAAACAAGAAGCCAACATGAAGACTTGCCTGAGGTGTCTAAGAATGCTTTGTCTACTTGGATACCATCTTCTCTTGATTCTAAGAGAGGAAAGCGAGGCAATGTTATATCAATGCAACCTGATGGAGGAGCTGGACAGTGCCCATCCAGACGATTCATGCGTCAGTTCAGTAGCCCTACTCGTTCCTCTTTAATAAAAACTTCAAGCTTTCTATCACATGGTAGTCCATTATTTTTGTCTGTGCCAGGCTCGACCAGTAATAATGACACCTCAGACCTTCCCATTAGCAGAAAAGGAAGCTCACACAGTGAAAGTGAAAAACATTTCCTAGAAGACAGAGATAAGGGTGAAAATTCAAGTTCTAACATAACACCCCATAAACACAATTCAAGAATTTCTCTTAATGGCTGGCCAAGTGTACAATCAGCTGAAGATAGGAAAAAACGAGCAAGCAGTTTCACAACCAGAGATCGAAGTCCAAGAGTGGTCAAAAGAGCAGTTTCAACAGATTCAGCTCAGTCCTTGGATATGTTTTATTCAGCAGATGAAGATAGTGAAGCTTCGGGCACAACTGATGATACATTAGCTGTTGACACACCACTCATAAAGAAAAGACATTCAACACCTTCAGGAAATAGTGTAAAATTAGAAAAGCTTGAGGAAAAGTGTTCATTTCATGGGGAGGATGTTGGCTCAACTCGAGAAGATAGTCACACTTTTTCATCTAGTAGCACTCAGCATGACTCCTCTGACTCTCACTCTGTTGTATCAAGCTCATCATTCATCTCAGCAGTGTCATCACAAGAAGATATTGCTCTAGTAAACCTTCACAACCAGATGGATAAGCCCATTGTAGAGTCTCCATTACTGATGTCATGCTACACTGCATACATGACACAATTGAAATGCTTCAATTGGCAAGAACCACCCCCTCTGCCACATCTTACTCAACAGTCTGGAATAACCGAGGCTGGCCCAAACAGACACTACCTATTTCTACGCTCTGCAACACGCTGGAAACCAAAATTTACTCCACTAGTGAAAGGTTTTACTGCAATACATATGATTGATAAGAATCGATCTGGTCGGTATGCAAGAAACCACTCCTTGAATCAACAACAAAATCATTTTGGTACTAAAGAAGAAAAAGTCTTCTTTCCTGGATCTCTACATTCAAAATTTGAAAGGAAGACTAGTAAGCGTGAGTAAAACTATCACTAATATTAATATATTTTATCATTCTTCCATTTATTTAGTAGTTAATTTATTCTCTTGTGAGATTTTTCTTTGTGGATCATTGAGAATAATTTGTATGTGTTGTATAAAGTTGTTGGGATTAATTTAGTATTCTTGTGACACATTATTTTGTGGATCAATAAGAATAATTTGTACTTATGTAGAAGTAAAGTTAAATTGTATGGATTTTGTACTTATGTAGAAGTAAAGTTAAATTGTATGGATTTTTATAGTATTTTTGTGAC